GCAATATGTTCTTCAAGACTAGTGGAAAAAATTATAATATCGTCCACAGGCACGTAGCCAGGGGGGCTCAGGGGGCTTAACCCCCCCCCCCGAAATTCCGAAGGAAATTTTTGTCAGATTTAAACATAAAAGACAAACTGAGAAAATTCAAGTGATCTCAATCATATTATGTAAATATATGAAACAAATAATTGAACATTTTTAGCCTATGTCCGTCCTTGAGATATAGTCTATATTATGTGCTAGAATTTAGCGAAATCGGTTCAGCCGTTTTGGCGTGAAAGCGGAACATACAAACAAACATACACACTTTCACATTTATAATATTAATAGGGAAGAATGGATATTCATTTACCACTATAAAAAGAAGTCTTTCGTACCTATGGTATTTTCTTTTATAGCTACAATATTGGACATTTATTTGTTGTTCACCTTCATTATTCTTTTATTATTAATCCATAAAAGCGCCCACTTTGAAATTTTCGCAAATCATCTTACATTACATCTTTGCACTATAAGTAACATTTTGGGATCAAATCGTCTTGTACGCATTTTTCCATTCGTTAGTGAATGGGAACTTCACTTATTTGTTTTACGTTACTTCTCCAAATACTTATTGCAAAATCTTCCAATGCGATAGGTAAAATTTGGAATCTTCTTGAATATTCCCAATCTTGAACACTTTAAGAAAACGGTGTATGTGTTGCATAATTCAAGTTACAAAACTTTCAATTCGCTATCTTGTAAAAGCTCCAGCCCCACGTTTTTGCAATTTGACATTTAAAAGGAACAAGCACATTAATCAAATCCAAGCGAATAACCAAAATTTCTGTGTTATGTACCGCGGTTATAATATAGTTCAAGATGACACACGGGTTGATGACGTCAGTTACACGAATCGCTTGAACGCGTTGGTTTTAACCGCGGTTTTGTTGCAAGTTGTTTATTTTAGAAAAGCGCGTATATAATCTCTGATTATTTTTATTATCACTTAATAATCGGTGCTTTTTCGTCTACAACTGTATATGGAAAGTTTAAATAAGAAACCTTTCATAATATTCATGGAAGAAATGTTTTTTTTAGATTTTTTTTTAATGGTGGTACCATGGCTTTGTAGCTATGATAACTTTCAATTCTCTAAATTTTTCCGCATGTCAAAGAAAACATTAATTGATTCAGCAGAAATGATGAAAAAATAAATTAGCAAAACCGTATACAGGTGGATATCATCTAGTGAGTTTATATGGCCATATTTTAATATCCTTGAGGTGTATGGCTACACAGGATACTTTGTTAAGCATAGGAACTGCATTTAAAGTGTCCCCAACAACTGTAATGAGTATAACTAATAAGGTGCTCCACTTTATGGTAAAACTGAAGTCAGCCTGTATCATTTTTCTCAATAATGAAGCTGAAGTACAATAACAATATCCAATACCCGGTAAAATTCTAACTTGTCACATTTCAAATAATAACCAGAAATATACAACTACTCTTGAGTTGGGTAAATACCACAATTTTGCGGTGATAACTATGACATATAACAGCTGATTCGTGACGTCACGGATCTTATAACCAAACTGATAACTACACTCGCTTGAACGGATTGGTAAATACCAACCCAAAATGGTAAATACCATTTCCATTTGGTTATCCGCTTGAATTTGATTATTGATTACTGGTTGACATACGTTAACAAAAAGATATGTCACCCAAGTACCGTGGAATGCGTTAGTCAATATTAAAATGAAAACCTAGATCGAAGGAAAAACAACAGGTTCGGCAACGGTGCACTTGGTTTTACCAGCGACATCTAGCAGAATAAATGTTTATTCTAATAGTGGTGTAGGAAAGTGTAACGAATTTTTATAGTTTTCGATCAATGCACGAGATGGCCGCGTAAGCGGCACATGCTGGATGCGACATCTAAGAACGAAATATTTAATTACATGTGACATTTGTTCAGGAAACTGCAATAAAGGATTATCATTAAATTTTTATTCTTTCAAAAGATGTCAGGACAATTATAGAGAAGACTTCCCAATTGGAAAACGCTGGACATGCTTATTATCTTGATGTGCAATATACCTACAAACTCAATTCAAAAACCAACAGTCTATTTTTCATTTGCAAAATTTAAACCTACTTGGGATACAGCAGCGTTGTCAGATCGACAAGATGGATTTCCTTTAGCGTCAACTTTATGATTTTAATCTTAACAAAACCTAATATCACCAAAGAATATTATCCACACCAGTGGCGGATTTAGAGAGGGTGAGAAGGGCTCGCGCTCCGCTCGAGTCTGTAATTTTACTATTCGTCATTATTCGTCAGAGCGGTCCGGTGGACCTTTGCTCTTAGTTAAAAGTCCTGTCGGTCTGTTAGTCTGTCTGGCTACCAAACATTTTTAAGGGGAAAAGGGAAAGAAGGAAAGAAAGGAAGGAAGAAGTAGAGCAAAGAAAACAAGTAAATCGTTTGAAATAGCTTAATCATTCTTGCTTTGACTATTCTGATAATTTTGTAACTCCAAAAAATAATTTTGATCGGTTTTGTATACTGAAATAATTTTGGCTGGTCTGAATTCACAATTTAATTTTGATCACAGTGCGAGGCGCGGCCTGGAATGTTTGCGAACTTGCTCGACTGTGTAGTCTACTGCATCACGCAACAGAGGGTTGCTGTGCGATTCGGCTTGATTATAACGCCCCTGTGATTGTTTTTTACACAATCTTTTAGATATGGGATATCAAGATCTCTGTGAATGGTCTCATTTGACCTGCGTAGGGTTCTGTTTTGCAGGACTTGCAGTCTCTACATGTGTGTCTTGGCAAGGAAACACCAAGCCGCGCATGCGTAGGTGAGCCGGTCTTATACAAATATACAACCGAATCTTGTTGATCAAACTGCATTTTGAATTTCTGAACAACAAATGATAAAGCTGCCGAAAGTTAATTTGGAATTTTCTTTTCAAAATATCAGTATGATTCTGCCAGGTCAACCCCTTGTCAATGATGACTTCAAGGTACCTCTGACAGATTGCTCCCATAATATACGAGTTCCATTCACTGATAACTCTGATGGGGCACCGCGACGTTTTTTTAGTACAATAGATTGCCTGCGTTTTCGAAGTATTAATTTTGATCAACCACCGATCCGCCCACTACAATACTTCCTCCACCGCACTCTGCAGCCTGGCGTGAACCTGGTTACCAGAACAAGACTGGGCTAGCAGTGCAGTGTCGTCAGCATAGAGATAGACTTCACAGTTGTTGGGGCACGGAACGTCATGTATATGAAGTGAATAAAGGATTGGTCCGAAGACCGAACCCTGAGGAACACCGGCTCTTATGGGCCGTGTTGTTGATATTACATTGTCAATTTTGATCCGAAACTTCCTTCCTTCTAGAAAAGATTTCAACCGTTTTAGTAGCCAAAATGGAAAACCCTTATACAAGAGGCCCATGTGCCACATCTTGTCAAATGCCTTTGATACGTCTAAAAGCAAGATACCAGTACTTTTGTTCAGGGTGAACCCCCTGGTTACATGCTTGGGCATCCACTTTTTCTTATCCATTCTGGAAATTACATATACAAATCTGCTGAACTTCAAAAATGAGAGAGATAATAAATAATTATATTCACTGTACACTTTCGAATTACAAGCCATATACATGCTAACAGTAATTACACACAACGCGGGCGCGGTGATGATTTCCCGCAAAAGTTTTTCGTAATCTATAACTTTGAACATAACCTCTCTTCAGAAAGCACAACATGTAAATAACCCGTCATATTCGGTAATAATTTTCACACAGCAAATATCACTGATTTTGTACACATGCAGACCAATACACATAATCATCTAGATGTGATCTTGCTATTCAACCAACTTAATTCTCAGAGATAAAAACTACAGACACTGATCACTCAGCCTCACAAAACTATGCAACCAATAATGCGTGTAGTTTAGTTGAGTGATTCCTTCATAGATGGACGTTCACAGCGATCCTAGTGAGCTAACGTGGAATGACTGTTTGCGCCCTAAACACTACCTAGTCTTCAAGTTGACATCTTAGGCAGATTCTTAAGCCCGCCCTTGACCAATTCTAGCCCAATCATAATCATACCAACTACTTTTTGGTCTTAACAATCTGAAACCTGTCCCAACACATTTTTATCACTCCATACTGTTACAATTTTTGGTGTATGACAGAAAAATGCGGAAATCTAGCAATGCCGCACACAGTCAAGGGTATTATGTAAAATTGAACCCTTTCAACCCTATTTTGTTCAATTACATATTATGGGATCACCATAATAGTATTTCCTTTGTTATATTGAACAGTTACAGTCTCAACGATATCTGATGCTGGAACCGCACGCTTGCCTTTTTTTTGAAGAAGCAAACGTGGCCGTCCACACGTTTGCGGGTGCGTCAGCGTAAAGGCAACAGGCAAACATGACGGACGTCGAACTTGTGTCTGCCGTAGCATTTGGCTTAAGCTATTTTTATTATAAAACAAAAAAAAACAGTCAGATAAATCGAAAAGTACGGCCAAGAAGGTGGTGGATGTTAAATATTCATATGAATCGTACCAGGTAAATGGTATTTGTTTAAATGAAATTGATATTTAGTTCCAAAAATAGTACCTATCACATCCAAAATTTAAGGCGCTGACATAATGAGTAGTAACATTTGTGTTTTTAATTTAATAGGCATTAACTAAATAGTGCTATTTGTCTAATATATTTTATTGCAAGGAATACATGGAACAAAAGTTTAGTGAACTTCTTTATGAACCATCTGAATTTGACTTTTTGCTGAGTGCCATTTCGCCTATGATTTCAAAGAAAAATACAGACTTTAGAAAAGCTATACCTGCAAAATATCGTCTGGCAATTACATTAAGATATTTAGCTACTGGCGTCAGTTTTCAAAGCCTATACTATTAATGAGGTTCTAAAGGATGAAATAAAGGTAAAGTAAGAAATGTTTGTTACGTATATAAAAATGTTTTATTTAAATAGTTATGTCATATATTATTTATTCACTTGTACTGCTTGAAATCTTCAAATGCTCTCACAAATGATATATTAATATATTGTTATTGTTTGGGTTTGATGCGTTACTTTCATCAACATAAATAGTTATGTTGTCATCGATTGCTTCAGTTACTGGCAATGAAGTTGGGGTTCTCTCTCCTCGGTTTATGAGTACATATCCACTTGATGCTGATGATGGTCTAGAATCAGCAGAAATCTGAGGAGATGGTGATTCCCGTCTTCTTTTTATTCTCTGGATGAATAATCCATCGATTTCGTACATAAGTAGTTTCTGCTCATCTTTCGGAAGTCCTCTCATCCTGTGGGCTAAAAGCCTGGCGTACAAATCACATTCATCTTCATCAGATTTTGCTTGCCGTTGGTTGAGTACATTGGTTAGATTGCTAAATGCTGTCGCCATTTGCTGTTCAGCTGCAGAAGTCGAGGGAACTGTCAAGTTAATATGATTTTCCGTGTCTTCTGCTTCATAACTCGTTTCCGATGATCTTGATTGCTGCAAACATTTGTTTTATTAAAATTCAGTGATACGAACAAGTCTCAATTTTTATATAGTTTTTTCACATGTAAAGGTTTTCAATGAATCGTATTTGTTATTGTAACATTATGTTCAATAATTGTTTCAGATACCCTCATCAGCTGAAGAGTGGATTAATACAGAATGAGGATAGAGAAGGAAATTTCCACATTGTATAGGTTCAATGGATGGCAAGCATATTGTTATTCAATGTCCCCCTCATAGTGGAAGTGAATACTTCAACTACAAGAAAACATTCAGTATAGTTCTGTTAGCATTAGTTGACAGCAATTATAGATTTATATTTGTTGACATAGGATGTCAAGGGAGAATTATGGCAAAAAATCGCCAGAAATGAAATGAACTATCCCAATCCATGCCCACTTCCCGGAATGAATAATAACATGAACATGCCTTATGTGTTTATAGCAGATGGTGCTTTTGCTCTAAACATGCATGTTATGAAGCCCTATCCTGGAAATCAGGTGATAGGATCGCCAAAAAGAATATTTAATCAACGTTTGAGTTCAGCCCGCGTTGTAGTGGAGAATACATTTGGCCTTTTATCTTCAGTATTCAGAATCTTTCGAAGACCTATCAATGTAAAACTTGAAACTGCAAAAGAAATTACTATGACCTGTGTGCTACTACGTAACTTTCTCAGAAGAAGTCCAACTTCCTCACAAATGTATACTTCCTCAGGGATGCTGGATGTATATGATAGTGACGGCAATCTTATTACACCTGGCACATGGCGGAATATAAATGAATATAATGCGATTCAAGATCTACCAAATGTACCTCGAAGATCACCACAGAATGCACTAAGAGTTAGGGATGAATTCCTTCATATTTTTGTAGGTATATAAATAATTGACAAAGGTGACCTGTCAATTATACTAAGTGACATATAAATCCGAACACCCAGTTTAAATGGTTTTATTTTAATAAAAGTTGGTGAATGTATTTATCTTACTGTAAATAACAAGTGAAAAAATTTTCAGCCTTATCAGTTGGACATTCCGGTTTTTATACTGCTTTTTTTTAATTCACTAACGCTCTAAAAATGAATATTTCAACCGCAGTAAAGAATCAACGTTGGCGGATTTTGGTTCTTGACATCCTTTACGATTTCGTCAACTTAGTGAGTTTGATAGGGGCCGTATAGTGGGACTTCGGGAAGCTGGACTTTCTTTTCGGGCAATTGCAGTTACAGTGCAAAGAAGTGTAGACACTGTGGTTAGGTGTTGTCAGGCATTGCTTCGAGAAGGCCGTACGCAAAGAGCAAGGGGCACTGGACGCCGCCGTAGAACAACAGACCGTGAAGATCGCCGCCTAAGATTATTGGCCTTAAGGGACCGTTTCTCCACTACCAGGTCCATTGCAAATGAATGGTTTGCAGAACACGGAAGACCTATTGGCATGCGAAGTGTTTACCGACGAATGAGAAGTTTTCGCTTGTTTTCATACCGGCCACACTGGGTCCTCCCTTTAACTCGAGAACACCGACGTAATCGCCTTGAGTGGTGCAGGCAACGGTCACTCTAGGATCAGGAATGGAACAGTATTGTCTTTAGTGACGAGTCTCGATTTTGTTTAGGCATGCACGATGGTCATGCCAGGGTTAGAAGGCGACGTGGTGAAAGGAGGAATCCACAGTTTTTTGTTGAAAGACATGTTCATCACACTGATGGTGTTATGGTTTAGGGTGCTATAGCTTATGGTTCCAGGTCACCTTTAATCTTCATCAGAGGTAACATGAACGCGCAGCGTTATATCCACGAAGTTCTAGAACCCCATCTTTTACCCTATCTTGACACCCTGGCAGATCCAACTTTCCAACAAGATAATGCCCGACCACATGTTGTAAGAGTCACAGTAGACTTCTTTCAACATAATGATGTCACATTGTTACCATGGCCACCAAGATCTCCCGACTTATCCCCAATTGAGCACGTGTGCGATATGATGGGTAGGAGGTTGCTCAATTTGCAACGTCCTCCTCAGACTAGAAGCACTTCGAGAGTAGTTGGTGGTTGCCTGGAATGAGATACCACAGGAGGACATTGACCACCTGATTAGAAGCATGCCTAGGCGCGTTGGAGAATGCGTAGCACATCAGGGTGCATCCACACATTATTAAAGGTCAAAGGGCTTTAAAGCAGTGCAATCATTTTGAAATTCTTATCATTTACTTATTATGCTTCATTAAGTACTTATACAAAATTTTATTAAAATAAAACCATTTAAACTGGGTGTTCGGGTTTATATGTCACTTAGTATATTTGGATATGCATTCATAACAATGTAAGTGTTGAAAAAATCAAAAAAAATATTCCTATGTTTTCAAATCTTTAATAAAAGGATTTCCTATGTTTGCAAATGTTTCACTTACCATTTCAGAGTTTAGGCCTGATTTTGCTGTATATATTGGCAGAAGAAAAGATTCCATAAACTGGTAGGCAAACCAGTTTGGTTGATAGATATCTCCAGTTGCTGAAAAAAAAATTTGCTGCATCAGATACATATTAGTAGGCACCAAAACGGAAATTACGGGTAATTTGCACTTCTGACATTTAATTAAAATTTTTCAGAGGTATCCATAACCTCAAAATTGTAGTGTTTTAAAGGAAAAAACAAGCAAAACCCATCAAAAAACAATTGAGTAAGAACAAGAAATAACCCAAAACTTCCGTCTCACACACGGTAAACTACAAATAAATTGACCAAGCCTAATATGAGGGTTTAGGTTGAGCTTGGTTAATTTATTTGTATTTTCTTATTTGTTCGACGACCTTTTGTTATTCCTTATCTGTTTGAAGATGGGTTTTGCTTGTTTTTTCCCTTAAAAGTCTGGAATAATTCAAGTCAACTCGATTTTGAGGTTATGGATACCTCTGATTAGATGTGGACATCACCCCCAGACAAGTAAAAATGCACCCCTTTAGTAGGTAGTATAATCAAAGTAGACCTACCTGCACCAGAACGAATACAGTCTTGTTTCCGTTTTAAGTGTTTTCTAAAAGTCACCATAAGAATCTCCTTTTTATTTTTCAATTCTTTTACTGATTTACTAAATGCTGCGCTAAGGCGACTCCATGCGTCAGCTTTTTTTTTGTTATATTTGTGATCCGGATGACCTGTGTCCCAAATGCATGGTTCTCCTTGGTACCGCTCCAGAAACTTCAAAATCTCTTCGTTCGACCAGTCACTCATTTTGTCGTTATCCAACTGGACCCAGATTATTGTTACGAAGCTTACACCTATTCGCCACCAGTGCATAAGCGAGACTGAGGCGCACAAACGTATGGATGTTTCACAAACGCTTGTGGCAAACTCCTTTTGATTTGCGAACAAAAAACCGACACCCGATCGGATCGGCTACAAGCGCTTGCAAACCCACGCAAACCAAGCCAATCGCTCTATCCGCATGTTTGCGTTTGTGACGATCTGATTAGACCCCAAATCCAATAAATTACAAGAAATTCAATCTACTTTCCCATTTTCCCCTAATTTCGCTATGTTTTATTTTCTCATTCGATCCCACGCAACATTTCTTTCGCAATTGCATCAGGAGGAGATCATCCGGATTCTCAGAGGAGCCACGGCCAACTCTATTTCATATTTCAACAATTCCGTTTTCAAGATATCGCAGCGATCCTGATCATACCTATACCTACATACCTCAAAAATCCTTTGTGCATCTCTGATTTTGAATTTCGCATGCCTCCAGTTTGAAGACGTTATTTTGTCATTAACCTATGCTGTGTTCAACACCCATGTATTCCGTTGGACCTACCGACCACGCACCCATATTAGGCCTAGACCGATTTACTAATTAACCTCTAAACAAACTGTCCAGCTTGTTATAAATAAATACAAGTAAATAAACAACACACAGAATCCCGTTAGATGGGCAGTAGTCGTGTCTACCAAGAATAACGTAAATGCTAGAGAATAGAGATAGACCGATATGTCGTGTTGTAAGATAGACAGAGATGAAGTTTGCGGCAACCGGCCGAAGACTATACCTGCGCGCTGTTGCCACATCACGGGGTTACCTCAAAATAAACTGATAACTTCAGAGGATCAGACTAAAACGATGTAGACTGAGTCGGAATACGATTAGGCGTAAGTCTGTTTCAAAAATTGGGTGCACGAAAATTCGTAGCGTCTGGAGCTAGAGATGTGAAATTTGAGAAATGCAAAGCTTGTATCAAAATCCGTGCGGTATAACTTTCCAAATTATAGTAGGAATCCAGGATAAACAGACAGATAGACATACTGAAAGAAATGAATAAAATGATTCTCCATTAGGTGCGTGTCACTATACCTGCTGTTCCTACCAGCTGAAAGATTTTGTCGGGTATCATTTACTCGTTGATAAACAAACCTAAATCCCAGACAACCAGTAATTATCGTCATGGTAGCGTCAGAGTACCATTAAATTGACTACCTGTTGTAGGTATTTCATTAATTTGCCGATTTGAATGTGGCGTGAGGGGGTGGGAAAGTTACAAATTTTTTGAAGAAAAAAATTCAAGTAACACGAAAAAGTCGTCAATGAAGCTTAGATCGCACACCTTGTGTAGTGTATAGCTGCTATGCTTTCGTTCGTTGTCCGATTGACCTTAAGTCTAGACTATGCTAAGGAGTAGCAAAAAAGCAAGAGATACCTGTCTTTGGTCGGCATGAGCATGTTTGTTTTATTTTGTCCAATGGCAAGTAGACCACATCTACTACACAGCTAGAATCGGCGCCATCTAGTGGTGACTGGGCCTGAGTTCGTGAGTTGAGATCTATACAGTCCTAACCAGGAGGCTGCAATTCACTGTTTCGATTCTAGTGATAGATGGCGCTTTGTTGAAGCTTCGGAAACAGGTGATAAGCAGAAGGTGCCAAGTCCGTTGAATAAAAAATGTGTTCCATCAGTCAGAAGTTCAAACTGCAAAGCTTTGTCATCGAAACGTGCTGGCACATTGTCCACAATCCCTTTCGAAATTTTTCTGTGTCTCTTCTCCACAATTTTTTCGCGCATTTTGACAATAAGGTTGCATAATATTCTCCAGGTATAGTAGTTTTTCCATTGTCTAGGTAATTAGTGGAAATGACAAAAAATTGTCTCCACCACACAAGAGGCTGCATTACACGAAGCTGTTGGATACAGTTGCTAATTTTGATCGGAATGCCATCAGATGCAAAGTCCATCAACTTTTTGAAAGGCAGGAACCTTCCACCACAGACAAAGTATCACAGCAGGTTAACAGTGATGAAGACTTACCTAATTTCTATAGTTTACTGAGAGAGCTTCATTTTGAGTATAGGAAACGGGACAGAAATAGTATTTGATGGACAGCCAAGACATTATTTTATGGAGAAGAAATTATTCAAAATCAATAAAGAAATACCGCGACCATGACAGGAAGATTTACTACTTGGATGAAACCTGGATAAATGCAGGACATACAAAAACTAAAACATGGGCTGACTCTACAATTAGATCTGCAAGACAACCCTTCTTAGATGGACTAACCACCAGCCTGAAGAATCCGTCAGGTACGTGTATCTAACCAGTTCGTCATTTGTGTTGTCAAAAAGGTTTCAAGTAGACTGAATCCATGAGCCCACGCTGAAAACTTAGCTACACTAAACTTAGCTATATCTGGTAGATTTGGTACCAACACCTGTTAGATTGTATTATTATTATTATTAGATTTCTTGATTACTATATGAAATAATTTTTCCAGAAAAAGGAAAACGATTTGTTATTTGTCACATTGGCAGCGAAGATGGCTTTGTGCCCACTGCCCTATGGGCATTTGAGTGAAAGAAAACGACCGACTATAATGAAGAAATGGACTGGAGTTCATATGAACTATAGTTTGAAGAAATGCTCCCAACGCTTGACGGAAATGCCGTCAATGTACTTGATAATGCTGCATACCACACTAGAAAACTAGAAAAAATTCTCACAATGTTCACAAGAAAGGCAGAAATTCAACAATGGCTCCTATCAAAAGACACTCGTTTCAAAGAAAATATGGTCAAAGCAGCACAAATATAAATATAATCTTAATGTTATCGACGAAATGCCTAAAAAACAGAATAAGATCGTTTTAAGGCTACCCCCTTATCACTGCGAATTAAATCCCATTAAAATGATATGGAGAAATATAAAAAACTATGTGGCTTTAAACAATAGAACATTCAAATTTGCTGCCGTGAAAACTTCGTTTCATGAAGCTGTCAACAGAGTGACGGCAAACCATTGGAAATACTATATTGCATCAGTCACGTTCAAGAGACAATCGAAGACAATGTTGGGATCTGGACAGTATGGTCGATATTCAAATTGAATCTGTAATAATTAATATTAACCATTCCGACGATGATTCAAGTACCTCCAGCGAATAAAGAAATGTGAAAAGTATGTGTACTTGCTATAAAAATTTTTTTTTTTTTTAGATTATTCCAAGATCATTGAGGTAAATACGGACCTGCACAATCTCGCTTTTGGGCAGGTTGTGCTTTATTTGGGCGTAAATGCACTACGAATGGGGTAAGTTTATTACTTTGTGACTTATTGATATTATCCAATATTTCTGCTTGAAACTTGTCAAAACTGTCAAAAGTGGGCATGTTTACGAGCATGATGACAGCAACATAGAGAGATGCCACATGCGCAGAATATGAAATTCAGTGTATACCGACTCATTTCATCGTCGACATTTTTGGCTTTACCTTCACTCCACGAATTTAACGTACTATTTCTGGACTTTGAGTATACGACAAGCAGCCAAGGATATTCAGTTAGCGGAAATAGAAAATTTGATAATATAGCCTTTATCATAGGAAATGCAATTGCAAGATGTGGCAACGTAGGGTACCTGTAGAGTTCAGCGAGTCGCGGTGTTCGTTCCGCGATCCGGCCAAACGCTATTTTGCTGTCGCAGGAAAGGCCTACTTGATTTCGAATCGCACCCGGTTTTCTACCATCAGAATACGCGTTCGTATATTCGACTTCCTGACGATCGTACAAATCGGAGTGGCGTTTAAAAAATATAAACAATTGTTGGACAATTTATGGATAATTAACGTGAGTTTCTGTTAACTTTCGTGCGAATTGTGACTGGGATACTTTTGAAGTTTTGTGGTGCAGTAAGAACATGCAGGTGTTTGGCAGAGATTAGGAGAGTCGCAAGTTTTTCGACATGCACAAAGAAAGGTAAGTTTTTATAAAATCGTGTTTTTTGTGATTAAATTTTTAGAAAACGTTGGAATCATCCATAACTCGCAGATTTTAGAGTTATTGAGGGCTTTGTTCTATTATTCGTCTAACAACTATTTAATGTTCTGTCTTTTGGACCGCATTTTCCTCGTAAGTCGAATCCTCTTTCACTGTTCAACTAGTTTTGAGACTAAATAGAGGCTCTCAGGGAAAGTGAAAAATCCAGAAAGTGGCATAGGTTCTATAAAATTGAATTGAAAATATCGATATGTTTTTGGTAATCTCGATCTATATCTTCCCATAAATCCTAAAATCTCATCTCAATCGTAACCCTTTACGTTTGATTGTTGATACTGTTGGTAGGAACCATGGAAAATGGTCAAAATGGGCTCACATAAACCAAAATGGCTCAACGACTGATGGAGAAACGGAGAAAATTAGTTTTTCAAAACGTAATCACAGGTATTGATATCAATACTGTCTATAATAAGGAAATACTTATCCACTTTTATAGTTTGTCACTTATCTCTTGAAAATTTCGTCTGTGCTGTAACTAGGAAGTTAAAAAACCTCTAAAAAGGAATTGGAAATATCAGTACCTCAAACATCTTTGATTAGATTCAAGATCATCAAGGGTTCTTAAAACATACATAAATAAAAAATGAAGGAAACGATCTATAATTTTCCGATCTAAGTGTGCATAACGTTTTGAAAGAGTATATAAAACGTGTGTCAATACTGTCAATAATTGAAAATCTGAGTAAAAAAATAGTACGAGCCCCTTCCCACTTTAGTTGGCCCACTTCAAGATTTG